AACCTACAATACCGACTGTTCCGATCTTTGTTGCAAGTTTCTGATTTTTTATGACCCTACACAAAAATTCAAATTTTGAGTGATTTTGGTTTTGAGCTTCTATCTATGCAACAGATGTCCACTACTAAGCAGCTGAGATGTCATTATAAAGATCATGACTTACCCTTTTACATAAAAGTAAAAGCAGTCAAATCGGTCGGAAAAATCAGAAGTTATGAATTTTTGAAAATCGTGCGCAAAAACTTTCGGGACGACCTATACAATGTGTTGGCTTTTATGGGTTACCGGAGCAAATGATTTTTAGAGCCGGGAAGCAAAGTAGCCCTAACATGCTGTATACCATTCGAAAGCTGAGATCATGGAGAATCGACGTAGACCGTCGACTTTTTTGTAGGTGTTCTGTGGCGCGAGATATGAGGCATTTTATCTGCTTCAAAAATTAAGTGATTTTGTGTCCTCACTTTCTGCTCTCCAAATGAATGCTACGAGAAAGTCGACGGTCTACGTTTGTTAAAGAAGACTTGCTCTTTAACGCAGATAGATAATCAGCAGTGATTAGGTCTTCATTTGGCAGAAATCTGCTGTTGAAAATGACCATGTTTTGAGATAAAATGCGGTGTATCTCTCGGTAGAGGGGGGGCTAGAAAGAAGTCGACGGTCTAGGTCGAATCCCCTTTACCTGAGCTTTCGAATGGTATATAGGTTGCTGGGTGAAAAAACTAATCAGTTTTCAAGAATGGGGTGGAGATATTTACTATTAGCTTGCTCCAACCCAGGTCCACCAATGTATTGGCTTTTATCGGTTACCGGAGCAAATGATTTTTAGAGCCGGGAAGCAAAGAAGCCCTAACATGCTGTATACAATTCGAAAGCTGAGATCATGGAGAATCGACGTGGACCGTCGACTTTTTTCTAGGTGTTCTGTGGCGCGAGATATGAGGCATTTTATCTGCTTCAAAAATTAAGTGATTTTGTGTCCTCACTTTCTGCTCTCCAAAATGCTACGAGGATAAATAAATAATATAAATAAACATAAATACCGCTTCTTTAGTAAATTTATGAGTGTACTTGTTGTTTGAGGTACTTAGCCTGCAAAACCTTTTAATAATTTTTATCATATTCTTAGAGTACAATACCAATCTCAGCCCAGGTGAAGGGGGTCATCGGGAGTTTGGCCTCAAAGTAAAGGGGGTAAGATCCATCACTCCCCCTATCGCAACTATGCATCGGCCACAGTTCGATGCAAGAGCTTCGCACTTATAAAAATGGAAAAACCACAAATTACGACACCTATCACTAAAGAAATTCCGATTAACCTCCACGGCCACTCCACCAATGTTATCCAGAGTGTGTTTTCTGGAAGGATCGCTCGAGGACCACACAACGTTGAACTCGACCGGAGCTGTTCCTCCCGATAACCAAGCCCGTAGTGATCGAACTGCATCTCATCACATCTGCCACAAACAAATTAGATGCAAATCAAAACAACTGCAATTTTCAGTAAATCGTTTTGCAGTCAATTTGAAATAAATGTTTCGTCTTGTCTACATTCTTCTATTTTCTACTAGCTGGCTTACCCGGCTCCGCCGTATGTTCCGAATAGAAAATTCCATTTCTCAACCAATCCGGACCAAACTTGGCACACATACACTTCGGGCCCGGGCGGGTGTCACAGTCCACTTTTCGTTATCGATCGATGTCGATTTTATCGATTTTTTGCAAAATTTGAGCTAGGGAGCTGGAAGAGGGGTGTAATCGAGCATGCTGATCACCCCCACGGGGGGGGGGGGGTGATCAGCATGCTCGATTACCCCCCTGTGCCAACTCCCAGCCCCGTAGCTCAAATTTTGCAAAAAATCGATAAAAAGTAGCCTGTGACACCCGCCGGGGCCCGAAGTGTATGTGTGCTAAGTTTGGTCCCGATCGGTTCAGAAATGGAATTTTCTATTCGAAACATACGTACACACAGACAGACAGACACACAGACAGACAGACAAACAGGCATTCAGCTTTATATATAAGATCTACAAACGCTAGGGGTGAGAGGGAGGGGGTAGAGTACGGGGGTGAGAGTCTCGCTGAAGTCCTACCCGGGGGGTCGTATTCGGCTAATTTGGGTGGGGTTTAGAGACATAATTGGGGTTTAGAGCTTATTTAGGGTCAATTACAGTATGCCGCGGCAGACTTGCGGAGCACAAAATCGGGGGGCTCCAGCGCACGAGTGGCAGACCCCCGCTGGGGAAACCCCGCGGCCCTGCCATTTCTGCGCCGGAGGGGTCCGATAGACTGTCTGAGTAGGTGGATCCTTGATGGTGATTTTGTAGAGCATGATCTGCTCTATCGAATAATACCCTAAGCATACTAGGAAAGCAAAACCAGCTTGAAGCATTCGAAAAAGTAGTTTATTTTTGGAAGAACCTAAATATAAACGTAATCACAATTCTTCGCTTAACAACACCATCAATGCCAGACTACGTGGGATGATTTCCCCTGTGGGCCTGATGACAGTCTGCTCAGCATTAAAAAGCCTTGATCTTTATCAGATGGTATGCTGTGACAATCTATCAGTTTAATAGCTCTGTCTTTCTTGTCATAATCGACTCCGATAGAAATTCATATTAGTTAGTGGATTGCATTCTAAGAAATCCTAGTGAACATGGAAGTATTTGAACAAAAGCTCTAACAACGGCTCACGCATGTTTACGTTTGGTGGATATTGTACGTCACATTATCAGCAGCTGAAAAAAGCCTCCTGCCTAAGCATAACGGCGTGCTCATTTTTTGCTTCCACTCAAAAAAATTTTCGCCGTTTATTTCGTTTGAGGGCATCGAAAAAAGCAAAGATTGAGGTACGACAGACTTGTGAAAATATGGCGAGAAAACCCATCATGCATTTCTTCTGCAGTTAAGGTTTCCCCATTTGTGCTTTAATATGAGATCTATGTGCAAGATAGAACCCTGTTTGATCCAGCAAATATTATTAGTGTCGTCTGCCTATACCAAATATATTATATCTACTTGTTCTGGTTAACACTTACCAAAAATGTCTAATCAATTTCTTGCGCCTGCTGTAGTTACAGACAACGTCATATCGGGGTCTTTCATGATTACGGTAGGGAAAAATTGTTGATAAGGCAATATATCAAATTTCTTGTTCTAGGCAGGAGCTGTCGGTACTGCGCTGAACATCTTTGTCATGGTTTCGTTAGCTAGGACTCCATTATTTCACAATGCCTTTGGCTTCATATGTTTCTCCCAGCTTATTGCTGACAGTGGTCTTCTTCTAATTTATCTTTTTTGGCTTGGACCAGCTACACTTTTGTAAGCTCAGATACAAGTTTAAGGAAATCACTTAAAGATACAACAAAATATTTCAGCTCTTATGACTTACCTGTCACCAGGTCTTTAGTTGGAATATCACTCGGACAACTCATACATCTTTTCTGGTTCGCCACTCTTTATTGTCACCTGCAAATTGCTGTGAATCGACTAGCAGCTGTCGCTTGGCCGTTCGCATATAAGTAAGTTTCAATGCAAGAACTATTGTTTGATAGGTAAAATTCTCAATTACTTTGTAGAAATGTAAGGCAAAAGCTACTCGGGAAAATGCAAGAATTAAATGAATGCGTATTGAAACTTTACGTCTTTTTTTTCGTCCATGATGATACAATCAGATGAAATATAGGCGAAGGTCACAATGTTGAAAGCGGCTTTTCGTCTCTTTTTCAGCAGCTACTACAGCTCTTGGTGAGCCAAAAGAACCCAAGCCCTTTTTCGACGAAAAAATGGTGGATATATGAATGTATCAGTTTTTTGAAATGATTAGCGAGCGGTGCTTCATTACAGATTCTGTCAGGTGAAGAAAATTGATCCCCTGTGTCATCATATAAAATTGAAAAACTGCTTATGTGGCAAAGCGCTGTCATCAGTCGGGCTCAGGTTTTATGAGTAGCTGAGCCTTCAGAAGATAAACATTTGAAACTATAGATCCCCAGAGCGTCGTCACTTTATGTGAGTTTCAGTCCCCTCGCCAGCGCAGATATACGTGCATACGGGATTAGTTTTGAGAAATTTATTTGAAACCTTTCAAACTGGGAATTAGAACCAACTATCACATAGTGGAAAATGGCTGCATTAAATTAAATTTTATATTGCTCGCCGATCTATGTTGTTTGAATTAACCCAGTACATGAGCTTGGTCACATCAAAATCAAATCTGGCGTTGCTGAAAAGCCATTTGGAGAGGTGGCTTGCAAAAAAATTTTTTGGCTCCAAAAAAAGTTGGCTCCCGAAAAAGTGGCTTGCAAAAGTTTGCTTCATGCGCTTCTCATCAAGTTTTCTTTGGAAACTAAAGGTGAAAATTCTGAAATTTAGCCAATATTGAACATAACGAAAACGAGAGGTGCAAGTCATCGGTGAGTAGGGTAGACACGAAAGCAATTTAAAAGCATGACCCCTGGAAAAAGGAAGAAAAGTTGAGCTCAGCTTGTCTGTTTTTTATCCGAATGAATTGATGATAGGTCGAAGAATGGAACGAACTCAGAGAACGACTTAGTGTATTTTGCACTGGTCTCTTACAAACTATCTCTAAACCAAAAAGTTCCTACAATTTTAGCAGGATCTTCGCGCACAAAAGCTTGGTATATTTTATAGCAGCAGGGTGGATTTTAGCGTTCGCTCATTCCTCTACATATTTTTGGCGTAAGTCCTTCTAGTGCATTAAAAAACGTTGTGAACTAAGATGGTTGAGCTGATTGCTGGATCTGGTTTGACGTCAACATATTATCCTGGACCGTGAGTGATACAAAATGTGCTAGGATTATAAATCAAAATGTGAATTATTTCCACACATTGGTCATGTGTGCGCTCATTATCCTCATCAACACCCTCACCTTTTATTATCTACATAGCCAAACGAGGGTGAATTTTTGTTTTACAAAAAGCTGTATGACCTAATTTTTCGGCATAAATCCATTAGCAAATTTCAGGTGTTACAAAAGATGGGAGGAGCACATGTGGCTCAGCAAATTTCACAAATCAAGAAGAACACTCGTTTCTATATGCAGGTATTTTTTCCAGGTGTTTCTTGCTGTAAAGGTAAGTGTAGGGTGCGTCAAAAGTCTAGCCTAGTATTTTTTTCAGATAAAATCAGAAGGAAAGTACAGATAAGAATATTAGGTGCAATAACTCGAGCCCATACAAGCACAGTTCAGCTCTCAAATTTTATAAGTGCCTCTTTTAGCTATAACGCAGCGCTTCAAAATCTTGACGAGTCCGCCTTTCGTGGCACGCAGGTAGTCGTAATAAAGTTCGTCGCGTTTTCACGGCTGTCTCTTTCTTGGCGATTTGCAGCATGACAGAGCAACTTCTGGCTTCTCTTACAAACAAAATTTCAATGTTTAGGAACAGAAAATTTTGAACTTTAAGTGGATGCATGTGTCGTGACTGCGGGAAGAAAAGCGGGGAATCGTCATCTAAAAAGTATTGAAACTGTTTTCTCGACCGAGTTCAAAGAGATGCTATAAAAACGTAGGGTAAAAGATAGCCTTGGAATCAGCGCCTACGGCGCTTGTATACTTTCAAATTTATTCCAAAGTCAAATGGCCGCCGGCACGCAGAAAATATTCGCATCTTATTTATCGTTTTTGAAAGAATAGCTTTTGACAAGGGTATACTAGGTTCGATAGCGCAAAGCTTTCTATGTATGCATTGTGTGCATCGCAGCGTTTTAAAACATTCTTAATATCTTGTTCTACGAAATAGATTGTAAATACTAAAAAATCCAATTTTCTCGCTTCAGAAAAATACTAGTTTGATGATTCCAGTTTTTACAAAAACAAATACTAGCCATTTTTTAGCTAAGCGGGAAATGGTCAGAACTTAACTTAGCCATACTGAACATGCTGTAAATCATCGGACTCGTCTTGGAACGTTGATCTCTAGTATATACTTATTATCTGCCAAGCGACTATCTGGAAGGAGTTATGAGCGTTCAAATATGCGATTTCTTATGCGTTTTGTGGCGCATGTTCCACGAAATAGGTTATCAAAAACTCTTATTTAGGTTTTGGTGAATGTGCTTCTTCCTTGCAATTAAATAACCATAGCCATTGTGAATCCGCGCCACCAAGCTGTCTGTCAAGGAAATATAGTCGTCAAAACTCGAGAAGTTTCCCATATTTGAATGCTCATAACTGCTCGCAAAAAGTCGCTTGGCAGATAAAAAACTTACACTTGAAGTCAGCGTCTCAAGACGAGTTCGATATACAGCTTGTTTGGAATGGCTGGGTTAAGCTCTGGACATTTTTCTGTAAGTAGAGTGTAATAGAATTAGTATCAATTTCATAAGTTCTTTTGTTTACAGTATTGCAAAATCGGCTCCTAGATTTTTGACACACCCTGTAAGCATTTTCAGAGAGCTAGAATTGGGCATTGAAAAACCGAGCATAGTAGCGCTCAACGCTTACATATTTCAGCTCGAATTATCATCAGGAAAATTATTTCAGAATTCACAACATCAGTCTCGCCCAAAATACCCCAATCATTGCAGGGTTGTATAAGTGCTGCTGTAGTAATACTAGCTACTATTTCATTCCGTATCGTTCCTTTATTCGAACTCACAAAACTTGAACTTGCCATCATAAACAGCGTAAACTGGGAACTGGTTGCAACGAGCAACGGGTGAAATTACTTCGCAGATAGACTCTGTCATTTGAAAAATTTATTTCAGCCTGATATTACTACTGTCTAACAAATCACTTCGTAGTGTTAGACCACGTCAACATGTCGTGATCAGCGTAACCAACCATTAGCAAACAGCCAACAGTATGGATAACACACTTTGAAATCCTGCTAAGAATTTACAGCTGTCTACCCATTTTTCGTTCTCCATGGTTACAATACACAATATGAGCTGAAGCTCACTTTGTAATTCCGCTATATCAATTCAATTATATAGTCCTCACTCCACTAGACGCACATTGGATGAATTCGAATGCGAACTGAAGCAGACCGGTTGCGACAGAGCATCCCCTGCCCTCAATTCAGGACACTTGTTTTCTCTGATTTTCTTTTTTTGTTAAACTCTGCTCCTTGTGATTTAACAATGCATCTGAACAAAATCAGCGATTTAATGTTGTAAACCACGTTTCACCTCTAAGCTCACTTGTTTGAGTTCAGGTGAGCTTGAAAATACGATGAAGATGCAACTTTTGCTTGTACATTTTTTTGTTGAATACCATGTGCTGAACTATAAATTTTATGTCACCAACTACCCATCTGCATCGTTTCCAAGCCTATTTTGAAAAAGGGTAGAAGAACCGGAACAGTAGTACATGAAGTCGCCCAACAGCTATAAAGTCGTCAATTAGTCAGGAACATTGATCGTGACATGAGGAATAGCGACTAACAACTAGAAAAACAGAAAAAAATTGTGTGTAGGTTTGCATCTTTGCTGAGGGGGGATGTGCTAATTTACCTGAACTCAGAGTTAAACAATGAGGATAGAAGTAAGTAACATCGCTCAATAACACTAAAATTCAAGATTGAATATGTACATTTTTGAAACATAAGAAGTAGCGTCTAACAACGAGAAAAATAGAAGAAAACATATGCAAGTTTGAATTGAAGGCACCGCCCGCAGTGCTTTGCCGCAACTGGCCCCGCTCTATTTCGAATTTGAATTATACACGTGCGACTAGCGGGGTGAGGACGATTATAACAGTGAAAGAATAAACTGTTTGAGCTGAAGAGACTTCATCTGATGTAAATCAATAGAGCGGCCGGTCGTCATCTCCAAAGTCTGAAGATCAAGCCTAGCTCCAAAGATGAAGTTACTACGACTTGTAAGTCGCAGTTCCTGCGATATGTGTGTACGAAGAGGCAATTAGAAATGGTTAAGAAACAGCTCATTGCTCTTGCTCCACGCAGAGAGACGATTTGTACAGAAAAAGCGTTCCAGTCTCCAAATACTATCCATTTGGTGCGCGGACGAATATTATAAAGACTCAAGCCCATGCGCTTGAGGGCGTGACGTGAAATGCTCGTTCTACCGCAGAACGCATGATGTATGCCCAGACTAAATTGCGCGGGATGGGGGCACGCTGGGTTTCGTTTTCGAGGCAGAAAGGCTGAGGGTAAAACATGTTCTGCCGACATTCAACCTACCACACATACAACCGCGCGGCTGGCTTAGCAAATCGGAAAGGAGAAAGATTTTTTCAGGCTGGAGTAAGAAAGAAGTTAGGCGCCTCTAATGCTTTGACGGAAAAAGCAGCTAGATTTACACCGAAAGGAACACACAGTATATTACCTAGGAAAAGTTACAGAAAGGAGAGGTACAGAAAGGATGCTTTACGAGAAGGAAAAGCACTATTTCGGTTATCTGATGTGCAGGACGAGTCTAGAGAAAAAGTATGAGGTGTAGGGCATGTCTACTCAGACAATAACTCGGAGGAGCGGCGGGCATCTACCGGGCGGGTGATCATGCCTCCCGCCGTTCGTCCTCTAGAGGCACGCCGCCCGACCGCTGGATATATAGAGCGGGCGAGCGGAGTACCTTTGGCAGGCGACCATCAAATTTTCCTCCACTCTTCCGCCAATAGTAATCCGCTCGTCCGCTCGTACATCAAACCGGACGAGCAGAGTGCCTTTGGAGGGCTAATAGTCATGCTTCCCGCCTCCGGCCTTCTTTTTACAGAAGTAAAAGGATCCGAGACAGTCTGCCTACCGCTTATAGTCTGCAACTTTGGCTACAGACACACAATCTAATACCTGCAATGCATTCTAATGATCAATTTATTAGGACGCGTAATCAACAACACAAAACACAGAAAACGACAAGTGATATTCCAGTCACCATATATGAGACAAGATAATGGTAGTTGATGTGGATCTGCTTTTACGTTTGGTAGAGGGAAACAGATGCCGCAGAGTCCCTATAAGAAACTGAATAGTATATATAAGCTCCTGGATTTTGAATGAAGAGCGAACCATGTAAAGAAGGATTCAGCTCCAATTTTTACTCGGATAACCCTTTACTTGCGATCTGTGCAAATACGCATTGAAAATACGATTCTGAAACATCGTGATGCACTTGCTTTTAACACGATCAAACGTAAGCCTATTTCTGACTTCGTCCATCTTAGACTCTTCACTTTTTATTACCTCCATAGCTTTCCAGGAGAACCAAACCTCTTGCTGTCGAAAATTCTCCTAGAGGGCCGGCTTCCTGCATATGCCGGTAATTGCTGGTAGTCGCTGTCATAGTTGAAATTCAGTCTTTTGTATCCGCTTCTTTCCTCACTTCCCCTTTCGGGGTGTAATGAATGCGAAGAGCAGTTCATGTGATACATCGGCAACGGCTAATTTCAAATCATTTTAGCAGCTCAAGTAGCCACCAGGCCTGAAAACAGATTAACAAAGTGAAGAGACTGCAATGAGAGAACTTCAAGATGATATAAGATAAAGGTATGATAATGATGGCACGCCACCCACCCGCTTGAGGGGATGGGCCGCCGCTGGTCAAATCAAGGTCTGCCGCTCGGAAGCTCGGTAGCAAAGGTACGCCGCTCGTCCGCAAGAAAGCCACGCCCACAAATCAAAGCTCGCCGCTCGCCCGGAAAGCCGTTGAGGCCCGCCGCTCGTCCGAGTTATTGTCTGAGTATTTTTGAGAATGAACATTACTGAATGCGACATCTAGACAATTCTTTATTAATCAAGCGATCTTCTACAAACATTCGTACTTTTGTCAGTCAAGCTTATACGCGCACCGTGCGTTTCCAGCAGGACTTTCTAAATCAACTTGATTAAGAAAGTTTATAACCTTTTACGACATTAAAAAATTGTTATCCGAGGTTTTGGTGACCCGATATGACATTTCTCACACCTGCTAGCCATCGGGCCACTAGTTCTTCTGCAAATTTCTTTTTCTGAAATCACCAGTCTAACGTGGAACAGCTTCTGGAATAAGTACTTGTTTACGATTCATTCGTAAGGAGCAGCAGCATTGCGCGATGAGTCTCAAAACCCTCAAAATGCTAGCACGATGAAAGCACATACTGAGCATAACATGCGAAGCGCTGCGGAGCAGAGGTACACACTGGTATCGCAAAACCTTTTTATCAATTGAGTGAAACGGACAAGAACTTTAGCGATGTGCAAGGTGTGCAAACTATGCTGAGTGAGCACTTGACAGCAACAACGGCATCCGTAATTGTACATTGCCACCGATGACATATTTGAATGAAGCACCCTTTATCTGTAACAAGCATGTGTTTTTGCAATTAGTGGCTCTTTGATAATTATCAGCTCTGCGATAAATGAATCGGTCTAGAGTTTGACCCATTTTTAGCAACAACATATGAGCGTTTATAGAAAAGGTACCGCCCGAGAAAATTGTGAGTTTTGTTTTTTTTCGAGCAAAATAAGTATGAATTTACATTAGATCGTAGCCCAGCCATCAACCGCAAGAAAGATAAGCAAATGAAAAATAACTCTAAAAAACCTTATTTTTACGATAGGGTTATTCGCGTCAGTGTGTGACTGAAGAACTGACTGATCATGCGAATTTTCAGCCTAAGCATCTTCCAAAAGAAAAGAACATAAGCAGCGGTGGAGGCCTTTGCCATGTCTTTGCCCCAGTGCGAAGCTATAACTCAAACTAAGGACGAGAAAATCGCTTTCTTCTCAAGTAGAGTGTGACAACAACAATATATAATGCAAAAATACGACAGCATGGTAATACAACTAAGATGGTGTCCTTCAGCAATCCAGGCGTAATAATGCTCTGCTAACAAGGAAACGATACTTGGTGTCCGTGGCCTTTTGAGATAAAACGTATCCATCACTCTCGTCTTAGAACGCTGCTTTGGAATCTGACTTCCGCTTCTGCTAATCATTTCTCTAAAAGAAGTTGTGAAGGATTTTTGCGGCAATGGTCGCCCAAGAGAAATACGGTCGCGGATGCCTAACTTCCAAAAAGAAGCTTGATTGGGGCAATGCAAAACTGAGTGACACAATTGGACTCGACTAGACTTACATTAACTTTGAGGCTATCGGACTAGCCACTACACCACATCGTGGCGGCTATTGGCATTCCGACCATGTTTCTTTTGATGCCAGACCCTTCATAACTTTTTTCAGAGAAACGATTAGCGAAAACGGAAGCTAGGTTCGGAATCAGCGCTTCAAGATAAGGGTAATGGTATACATCTCATTTCAAAAGGCCATGGATACCGAGTATCATTCCCTTGCAAGAAAAGTTTAGCGTCATTTAGTTGCGTAGTTCAAAAGTTTTGCCTTTAGACCAAAGGATGAGAAAACTCATTAACAACTCCACCGACAACATTCCAAAAGTGTTCAAAAATGTATCACTCCCTTTCCTTATCCCTGAAAAATTTTCCATGGAAATGATGGTCAAAAAGTTTTAAATCATGCCACTCTAGCATAAACAAAAGTAGACTATAACATTCCGCATGGAAGCTGCTCGCCACTACTTCAAAATATGATGACTTGCGTCTATTTAACAAGCATAACTTGATAAATCAACATATGCGTTTAACATGGAGATTGAACAAAAGTAAAGTTACAAGAAAGAGCCGTGGCTGTATATTATCATCATGATTAATTGGTTGTCTAGCACACAATCAGATAAACTGATTTTGCTGATGAATTACCAGCTGATGGCAATCGAATTTTGCGCTCCGTTACGAGATGTTTGCTCCCCTGCGATTTGTGGTGTACGGCTTAAAAGATCGACTATTTGTAAACTGTAATTACAAATGGCCAGTCTTTGAGGCCATTCGTAACATCTCCACGTGGTATTTAGGATATGTTGGGCAGAATCATTCCTAGGGATACCCTGAAATTGCTGGAAAGAGGTGGGTTGCTTCAATTGCAATAAATCATTAAAATTGTAATCATTTCGCGAATTTAAAGCGTTTGTTTCGGCTAAACTTTGAACTTTTGATAAACTTCCACTCCATTTTTGGTCAAGTGATTTAGTTTCAGAAGCCATAACTGCCGTACAGCTAGTTATGCCCCTTGCCAGTTCCAATCAAGAAAATCCCGTCAGTACCGAATTCGATAATGTGGAAGCAATTAAAATTGAGGATGATACGTTTTCGAAGCCTCAGGTTTGTTCCCAAATTTCAAAAGCAACCATGTCATCAAACATCCAAATGGCGTTGCTCTTGACATAAAGCACTTTTTGTTCAAGTCGATGAACGATAGCAGACGCTCGCGTGCGGCAGCCGTGGATAGCGTGATGGCGGGCATTTGCGGCTATCATGTCATTCCGCACAGTTACAGACTTATCGTGCACCCGCCAGAATTTTTCCCATATATTAGGTTGGCACATAAGTTTTGCAACTTTTCCCGTAAATTTTTTCCTATTTTATGTAGCAATCTCATTTTGTAGCATCATGTAGATCGTGATGTAAGCTGCAAGTCTGCGCAAACCGTTTGATTTTTGATAACGTAGTACAAAAAATCTAAGCATTTTTTGAAAACTGCTGAAAATCGAGGTTTCACGATTTTTTGGCAAACATGAAGCCCTACGAAATTTGATTCAAACATATGAAAAAGCAATTATAGGCAGCATGTAGCTGGAAGTTGGCACATTGGAATCAGTGAAAAAAAAAAGAAATCCAAACACAAATTAAGGTGGGGCGCCTTTGAAAATTTGAACAAGTCAAGTGCGTCAAGTTTTGAAGGCAATTTGTCAATAAGTAAGCTGCGAAAAGTCAGAATTCGCTTCAACTTTGCACTATAGAGTAATCCTATGCGGTAAACACGAATATCATATTCATTTATCGCTAAAATAAAATTCATCTTTCGATCTCACGAACGTGGCCTTTTCATGCGAAGCGGACCTCATTTTTGTGATCAGCATGTCAAATAACCCTATAGGCCAAGTTTCAGCAAAATCTGATGCATTCTAAAATTTTTCCCATAGTACCGTAAACCTACCGTAATCCTCACATAAGATGGTAAAATTCGGCAGAAATTTGTGCATTAGAAGCTTACATCATATTCCTTATATTGCCAAAAAAGAATGCGCTACGTTCAAATAGACAAAAGTTATATAAAAAGTTGCATTACTTATGTGCCAACCTAATATATATATATATATATATATACCAGTGCGTCACCTCTGCTTCACAGAGGCTCGCACTGGCCCTATGCTCTGTATGCCTTACTCATTCCCGCGTAATAATGACATTTAAACTCACCGCGCTATGTAGGCTATGACGAATAATTCGTAAACAACACTCATTCGTAGAGGTCTTTCATGTGAGATCGGTATTCTCGCGTGGATAAAATCTCTCCCAGAAGAACAGATGCAAATTCGAATGGGCTTTTGGAATTTTTATGACTTGGTAGTCGCCGTAAGGACAATAGACATAGTGGGCTACACCTCTGTGCAAAATTCTTCTCAAATAATCAGGTAAAATCTTGAAAATTTGACCGTTTACACAGCGAATGCTTTTTGGCGCTGTTTTCGTAAAGTGGTAGACTTTTCATAACTTTTTTAGGCTAACGTCCATGGCTTGCACATTAGCTTGTCAAATATATCCTTAACTCTGCAAAAAGTAGTACTACGGACCCAAATTTGCTGGCCAGAAGCCAGGTGGATCCGATTGACGCGCAATTTTCAATGGATCCACTCAACGGATCCGCTCATGTTTTTGTATAGTGAGGTTTCATGCTGGTAGCGTGCGCTGTGCAAAATTTGGGCTCAGGACGTCAGCTGGAACACGCTCTACGAATTTCGTGACAGACAGAAATTCACACACACAAGAAAACAACCCTTAGCCCGTTATTATAAGTTACCAGTTCGTCACCTCCGCTTCGCGGAGGTTCGCACTGGCTCCCTATCCGTATGCCTTTCTCATGTTCGCATGAGAATGGCTTTGAAACTTACCACGCGATGCTGAGCATCACAAACTAATCGTAAACAAATGTTCATTCATGAAGCATCTGCATGTAAGATCGGTAATTTTTAGGAAAAAAAACTTTGTTGCAAGGAAACAAATGCGAATTTGAAAGGATTACTGGATTTATTCTAGTTTGATGATCGTCATAAGGATAACAGTCACCTAGGGCTACATTTCGGTGCAAAAATCTTTTCAGTTTTTTCAAGTAAAAGCTTGCCAAAGCGACTATCTACGCGCTCATCAATTTTTGGCGCTGTTTTCGCAGAAAAGCAAACTTTTTGAGCACTTTTTGGGCTAGAGTTCATGGCGCGCAGAGTTACTTGTCAGGCAAATCATAACTTTGCAAAAAGTCAAATTAGCGGCCCAGTTTTGCGTGCCAAAAGGCGCGTGGACCCGTTTAACGCGCAAATTTTGAGGGACCCGCTTATCGAACCGGCTCGTCCTTGTGCATGGTGGGCCTACACGCTGGCACGGTATGCTATGCAAAATTTCAGCCGGATAGCTTAGTTGCAGCTTCCTCTATGAATTTCGTGACAGACAGATTTTCACACAGACACACAGACACACAAAAAAACAGACGGCCTTAGCGCGTTATTATAGTAGGATGATATACCAGTGCGTCAACTCTGCTTCGCAGAGGCTCGCACTGGCTCTTCTATCTATAACATGGCATTGAAACATACCGCGCAATGCCCGTCTTCACGAATGAAACGTAAACAACCACTCATTCCGAAAGCTTTTTCGTGTGAGATCGGTATTTTGCGTGGATGAAACTTCGGAAGATGAAGAACATATGCAGAATTAGAACATTTTTGAATTTTTTCATGGCTTGTTAGTCGCCTAAAGGATAATATCCACGGCGAGCCACATCCCTTTGCAATAATCTTCTCAAATGCTCAGGTAAAAACCTGGCAAATTGGCCATTTACGCAAATAATTCGTTTTGGCGCCTTTTTCGTGGGGTAAAGACTTCCATCACTTTTTTTAGGCTAAAGATCATGGCTTGCCATTCACTTCGCAAACATAATCACGACTTTGCAATAAGTGGTAATACGGACCCAATATTGCGCGTCAGACGTTAAGTGGGTCCGCGCGGTGCGATTTTTGAGGGACCTACTCAATGGATTTAGTCGTGCTTTGGCATGGAATCTGGATGGTGGCAGTGCGTGTTGTGCAAAAAATTGCGGCTTGAAACCTTGTCTGTTACTCGTTCTGTGAATTTCGTTACAGACAGACAGACACACACACAAAAACACGTAAACACCCTTAGCCCGTTATTATAAGTTATGATACCAGTGCGCCACCTCTGCTTCGCAGAGGCTCGCACTGGTCCTACTTTCTGTATTTTCCTTATTCATTCCAGCAATAAAGGCATTGAAAGTCACCGCGCAATGCCCACTATCACGAATGATTTGTAAACAGCTACTCATTCCGAAAGTTTTTTCATGTGAAATCGGTGCTTTCGCGTGGATGAAAGTTTTCGCAAAAGAACGAACGCAAAATTGAATAAATTTGATTTTTTTCGTGGTTCTGATAGTCGCCATATGAACAATAACCACCGTGAGCTATTTTTGTGCAAAAATCTCGTCAAGTGCTGCGGTAAAACCTTGGCAAATTGACCATTTATGCAACCAATTCTTTTTGGTAGAATTGCGGACCCAATTTTGCGGGCCAGAAGCCAAATGGATCCGTTTGACGCGCAATTTCTGAGCGATTCACTTAAGGAATTTGCTCGTGCCTTTGCACATGGGACTTTCATGCCAGTAGCATGCGCTGTGGAAAATTGGAGCTTAGAACGTTGGTTGAAATCCGCTCTACGAATTTCGTAGTTTCACATACACATCCACATACACATACATACACATTCACATGCACATACACATACACATACACATACACATGCACATGCACATACACATACACATACACATACACATACACATACACATACACATATACACATACACATACACATACACATAACATACACATACCCATACACATACACATACACATACACATACACATATTCAGGGTGCGCCAGAATTATTTGCGCGTGTATACTGCAACGCAAAACTCGTGCAAGATCAGAGGCAAAAAGTTATTTTGTTTCAATAACGTTTTGTCATTAAAAGGCTATTGCATGAATTGGAATTTCTAAGTGTGGCTCGAGAAAAATCACAAAATATCTTGCTGATTAAGTTGCGCGCACGCAGGTATTTTTCGGAGAACCTTCTGCTTCTTCATAGAAAAATGCTCCTGTGATGCAAGGAACACACCACATGATAGAGAACAAGTTTTCGGTTGCAACATACTGTGAGCGCAAAATCTAGGATGGTCTGACAAGAAAATTATCGGCGTTCAAACAAAGTCATGTGTTTGCTACATGCTCAAAAACTGCACATTTTAGGGGTGCGAATGAGCGAAAGAAAGACAGAAATGACTCCAAATCAGGTTGGAGTTCAATTTCATCGTGGAAAAGAACTGAGTATTTATCTAGAAGCTTTGTGAAAGCACTATAGCATTAAATCCGGTGACAGGCACGTTTCTGTAGCTTACAAATGTGATTTGAAAACAAAACGGTCACTGACACGCGGGTGGCATTTGCGTACTTTTTCTCGCGATATTTGAATAATTGTTGGTGAATGCGAGTAGTACAGTTCGATAGCGCAAAGCCTCCTCTAAACTGTGAACATAAAATCCCTTGAAAATGTCTCAAGAATTTCCAGTTACGGAATAAATTAAAACTACCGAAAAATTAATTTTTGCGCTTTCCACAAGTATTGGTACGACAATCTCATTATTTGCAGAAAGGTATGGCAATCACCTTAGGCTCATAAAACGCTCTTTTGTAGAGGGTGATAGCAGCATTCTACTACATAAATTTTGAAGTTGAAACTTTGAGTATATTTTGCAGCTCTCATGCAAAGTTGACGTAAATACTTTTGGCGCACCCTGTACACACACACGCACACACAAAAACACGTAAACACACTTAGCCCGTTATTATAAGTAACCAGTATACTTGGGTCCGAATCGAATAGAAATTCTATCATTCGAATAAAACATTCGAATATATTCGTATTCGAAATTCGATATTCGGAGTTCTTCCATTTTCGAATAATATTCGAAACTCGAATAATCAAAAAACAGGGTTTCGAATTAAATTCGAAAACTCGAATAATCAAAAAACAGGGT